ATAAGATCCCATACCAATGAAATAAAGCAGTGAAACAAATATGATCGACACAAGTAAAACAAAAAAGAACAATATGATAGGCATATAAAGGTTATACCAGATTTTTGAATAGGCGATAATACATATCAAATGTCCAGAAGCCACAAGCTAAACCAAAAATAGAAAGATCTATTTTTTGTACATAATGTTTTAGTTAACGGTTTCTATAAATTAAGAACGCTAGATAGCAAGGTCCTAAAGTCTCATATTAACAAAGCACAACTAAAAAGGTATCTGGAAGCCTAATAAAAAAAATAATTCAAGAAGATGAATGAATAAAAGAAGGAGGTCGGAAGTGGGACTGGATTTCTTGTTTAGTAAGATTCTCTTCTCTCTTTCTTCTTTTTTTTTTTTTTTTTTTTTGTTTGTTGTCTTTTTGTTTATTGGATGCCTTGTATAGGGAAGTATCTTTCTTTTACTTTGTTTTTCTTTGTATATTTCTTTTGGTACTGACAGGTTTGTTTTTTTTTTTTTAAATACAGAAAAAAGCATCTGCGTTAGAATGTTTTTGCCTGAGTGATGCTCAATACTGTAGTTATACGGTTGCAAATAAAGAATCTAGCAGGCACAATAGCCTTTTAGTTTTGAAGTTTCCAACTACTTCAAAGCTGAATGGTCGGTTACAATAGTAAATGGTCTATAGCCAAGATAGTGATGAAAATATTCAATTGTCCAAATAATAGTAAGACACTCTTGTTCTGTTGTAGAATAGTTATGTTTGGGCCTTGTAAAACTTCTTGATGCATAAGCGACAATGTATTCTTTATGATCATCTTCAACTTGGGTCAAAACAGCACCTAAGCCTACCCAGATGTATCTGTATGCAGAAAAAATTGTCATTTGAAATCTGGATAATGTAAGATTGGGGCAGAAATCAAATGTCGTTTGAGGGTATCGAAGAATTGTTGTTGATCATTAGTTCAATTATATGGTGTATTTTTTTATAATAACTGGTGTAGGGGTTTTGCAATTGTTGCAAAATTTTTAATAAATTTGTGATAGTAAGATGATAAACTGAGGAACCTGTGTAATTGACATATATTTTGGGCACTGAGAAGTTTTTGACTTTTTCTGTTTTTACTTTATTTGGTCGTATACCATCCTTTCTGATAATATGACCCAAAAAATGCAGGTTTTGCAGAAAAAACTGGTATTTTTCTAAATTTAATTTAAGACCCGAGTCCCTGATTTTGTTAAATACTTGGCTTAGATAGTAAATATGTTCGGTAAAAGTGTAAGAATAAATGTTAATATTGTCAAAATAGACTGCGATGAATTTACTAGTAAAGTCACATAAAATTTTGTCCATCAGTCCCTAAAATATCGCAAAGATGTTACAGAGACCAAATAGCATGATTGTGAACTTGAATATACCAAATTTGGTCATGAACGCTATTTTTTTACAGTCTTCTTTATTCATTTAGACCTACCAGTAACTACTGGCTAGGTCAAAACTACTAAACCACTGAGCACCACTGAATGCTTCTAAAAGGTTATCAATATGAGGGATAGGGTATGTGTCCTTTTTCATCACATTGTTTAATTGTTAGTAATCGATACACATTCTTAATTTATTATTTTTTTTTGGGACTAATACTATTGGAGATACCCAAAAGCTAAACAATTCTCTAATCAATCTCTTCTCCTTTAATTTCTTCAACTCTTTTCACACAAAATCTTGTTCGCTAGAGGCCAATCGGTATGGTGGTTTCTTAATAGGTTAGACATCTTGAGTCTTAATCACGTGCTTCACGAGGTTTGTTCGTCCAAGTTCTTCAAGTCCATTTGCAAACAACTTCTTATTGTATTTGAATAACTTTTTTACACTTTCTTTATACCTTTCTTCAACATTTACATCTTCAATGATTTTATTCAATTGCTCTTCTATGGTCAGTTTTTCCTCAACGGACCTTTTTTTCAGTTGGAATTTCTTCTATTACCGCCAAACATATAGCCAGGCTTTCAATTTTAATGATTTTTTCATCCCTTTCTATTTCTTCAGCACTCTCTTCATCAGATAGAGCACAATCAGTCGAAAAACTTTCAAGTTCTTCCAACTCTTCGCTTTATACTCAATTTTATCGAACAATTCATCAGCGTCATCTTCGTCATAATCATCTAATTCAACTTTTTCTGGTATTTGTACCTTTTGTTTTCCTTTGTCAGTGTACATGATGAGTACTTCAAACCTTCTTCCTAAGTACCTGATTACTAACTTTTGCTTATCAAAGTCTAACATGGCATGTGCTTTTTGGAACCAATCGGTTTCTAACAACAGTATTTCGTCAACTGATTCCAGGACTTGTAGCGTGATATGTTTGCAATATCAATTTTTACTTTTGATATTTTTTCTAAGGTTTATTTTTTTGTCCCTGTTGCTGTTATGATCACAGTTTTCAATTCTTCATCAATTATAAGTTTCAATCGATCAGCCAACCTTTTTGTTATGATGCTAATAGCTATGTCTGTATCCAGCATAGCAATCATAGGATTATCGCCGATTTGTACATAACATTTCGCAGCTGTGGTTCATTGAGTTAATTGGGGTCCACAAGGTTTGCTTCTTTAGAATTAGAGGCCTTCTCATAATCTTGGCTAAGTTCCTATGTTGATTTAGATATTGTAGAAGTTGCTCTACCATGGCATTTGCTCTCATTGTTAGAATATCATTGGCTACATTGTATGGTTCAACTTTATCTATAACCAATGGTCCTCTTTTTTGTCAAGGCTTGTCTAAGTTTTTTGAACTGGAAGGGATTACTCGAATATCATTTTGCAGGGTCATTATTTCGTCATTATTTATTGGAGATGGAGAAACCATTCTTTTTCTTTTTCGTTCCTGATTTTTCACATTATTTACCAAGTTTTTTTTTGGTCGACCTCTTCTTTTTTTATTGCATAGTTGATCCATATTATACAATTTCTTCTCCTATACTTTATTAGTATAGACTTCCTCACTTGTATCACAATAACTCACTTTTTTGGGCTAGTCATTTCTGTTGTAATGCTCATTTTTTTGGTTCAGATTATTTCTGGTAAGGGGCAAAATCTTGCAATATGACCTTTCTGTTCGCATTTATAGCAAACAATATCAGAGTTTTGTGGGCGCTGATTCATTTGATTTATTTAATTTTGATTCATTTGATTTTGATTCATTTGATTCATTTGATTTTGATTCATTTGATTTGTTCAATTTGTTTGATTATACTGATTACCCTTTCTTTGACTCCAACTTTTTGATTGTGCAACTGAGTTTACTATATTTGCATAATTAATTATCATTTCACTCATTTTTTTTACTAGATTCTCAATTTTGCTTTTGACCCTTTGGAGTACTTGTTGTGCCGTTTGACCATAGTATTCACCTGCTTCGACCTTTTTTGTGTAAGAGATTGCATCATCCAAGGTTATTGGAGCAGTCATAGTCACGTAGGTTGCCATTTTCCCATTTAATCCTCCAAAAAATATATGTACAACAT